GGAAGGAAGGAAGGAAGGAAGGAAGGAAGGAAGGAAGGAAGGAAGGAAGGAAGGAAGGAAGGAGTCTCTAAGGTGGCCCGAGCGGGGCAGCGTTCCAGGGAGCCGTGGGGAAATTCAGCATCCCCTCTGGACTGGGGTCTCCTCAGTCAGCCCTGGATCTGCCGGGGCTGTGGAGAACTGCTGCTTCTGGCTGCGTTCTTCAGCGTTGTGTGACCCGAGATTGCGGTCAGAGGGGAGAGTGGCAGAGCCCGTTCCTCTGTTCCAAGGGCTGCCCCTTCCGATTGCTGCCGGGTCGAATGGGCTCGCAGAGCCGAAGGCAGCGGGGGCACCCCAAAAAGCAAGGCAAGAAGCGGCCGTGCTCCAGCCATCATGCACAGCCAGAGGGCGGTGCTTGGCGCTGAATGCCCGGGCCGTCAATTAAGCGCCCCCCTTGGAGACTGTGGGAGGGGCAACTTACCCGTAGGTGGCTCACGGGCTACGTTTTCCTCATCGGAGTCAGCAAATACCTCAGCCAGCTCTTGGTCAGACATGTCCGTCAGCTCCGTGAGGTCCAGCAGGTCGAAGTGCACCTCGAGAGAGGAGACGCTGCTCAGGGGTTCTGGGAAGAGATGCGGGGAGAGAAGCTGGGGAGGGGCCAGAAGAGGGGGGCTTTCAAGGGTGGCCCCCTCCTTCTGGGGGAAGCTCTTCACTGGAGGTGGCTTGTCACCTTTCTCCTCGTTCCCCCCTCCTTTTGGGGGCCTTCTGCCGATTCACGCTGTGAATATTAATTGGACATACATTCGCAGGAAGGGTGTTTAAACATTCTGGCGCTGGTGCAATTAACTTCGGGGGATGATATGCTGCTGCCTTTAGTCCAGGGACCTCAGAGGGTCGGACGCTGGAGAAAGAGGCCTGCTTGGAAACATTAAAAAGGTGGGAGGCCCGTATTTTCATCCTCCCGCACTGTTGCCTTGGGGGGCTGCCCTCCTAGCGGCAGAGATTTTATTGATTAACGTGTTTAGTCAATTTACATCCTGCCTTTTGTGAGAGCAGCTCAGGGTGCTGTTTCTGCCCCGCGAGGCAGTTTTTGCTCAGAGCGCGCGACTGGCCCAAAGTCACCCAGGGAGCCGTGTCAGTGGCGGAGGGCGGACTAGATCCCCGGGCCCCGGCTGCACGTCCAGCACCTTCACCGCTGCCCCATCCTGGCTGTCTGAATCCTTCAACCAGGGACCCCCCCAGGCTGGCTCTCTCTCCCCGCTCCTCCCCACACGCTGCATGCAGATATTTGTCCTTTGGGGCAACCCCGGTCTCCATTTGGACAGCAGAACCAAGACCAGGGACTGACTCGGTACAAGGAATCGCCTCCTTTCCCCTGCTAATGCAGGGACAGGCAGAGCCTTGATGGCAGGGGACCGTGGGGTGAGTGGACAGGGGGTTTTCACAGGTGGGATTTGGAGCTTTACACTTTCTCTTGGGGCTTCCTTGTTTCCAGGTTTGCTGAGCCCGCCTAGGGCTGGTTCTCTACTTACGCCGGCGCTCTGCAACCTGCAGCAGCCCTGAAGTGGGGACTGGGACCCCTCCTTCCTCCTCAGCCGGAGAGCTGCGGGGCTCTTCTACCAGTCCGTGCATGGAGAGGGTAATGGGGGCCAGCCCCTCCAGTTTCAGGGCTTCTTGGGTCAACTCTGAAATGACAAAATGGGCATTGAGGAAGGGGTTGTTGTGGGGTGACAGCTGAGGGGCCCGGCCTGCTCAGCCTTACAGCTGCCTCCCGGTTTACCCGGGAAGGGTAAAACCAGAGCCCTTTGGGTAGATGGGCAGCCACGCACATTTGGTGACAAATGACATTTTAAAAAGGGGAGGTCGGAGTCTCCTGCACAGCCCCTCCTGCTGGGTACTTGAAGGTGGGCCTGAGGCTGCCCCAGCGGCACAACCACTCAAACCCAAAGATGGCCTCTTGCCTGCCAAAGGGGACGCCAGCAGGGCTTACGGAAGGAAGCTCCCAGTGCCATGGTCAGGGGATCGAGCAGAGCCCCTGCAAAAATGCTAAGAGTGGGGGGAGGGCAAGGCCCCTCCCCCTCCCCAGTAGCATCAGGGACGTCCCTGTTGGCAAAGGGTGCCTTGGGGGCACCGCCAGGGCTGCTCTGCCCGATGGCTGGCTTCTCTTTGGTGATTCCTGCTTGCTTAACCTCTGCCCCCCTTTGAAGGGACCACTTTCCAACCGCTGGCTGTGTGCGCAGGCCGCTCGACACCCGGTAACTAAGAGAGAGCCCTCGCAGACAGGCAAGGTGCAGAACTGGATGAGCAACAGCTGTTGGGTACCAGGAGCCTAAGACGCGGCTCCAGCACCAGCCTCCGCGCCTGCAGAGACAAAAGGCCGGCTTGTTTCGGAGCAGGTGGCAGGCACCACAAAGGCTGATCTATCCGAGGAGGGAGAGGCAACTGGGGCCGCAGCCCTGGCCATGTGCCAGGTGTGCCTCAGATACCCTCTTCCTCCCTTTGACAGTGGGGTGGCCCCTGGGAGCAAGTATGCCAAGGCCCCATTGATCTGGAAGTGCCTGAGAATGCTGTAGCATCTGTCAGCAGCTGCCTTGCTGATGATGCCTGCCTGCCTGCCTGCCTGCCTGCCTGCCTGCCTGCCAGCATTTAGTTTCCAACAGTGTCTGCTTCAGCGCGTGATGGGGGGCAGCAGGAGAGTCTCTGCGCAAGGTCCCTTTCAGCCTGGGGAAGGAACATATCCACGCGCCCGGACAGGGAAGACGCTTAAGGGCCCTGGGCTCACCGTCGTGCAGAGGTTCTGCCCCAGCTGCGTTCAGGAAGGGGCCTTGCAAGCACGGGTCTCCTTATGCACCCTCTTCTCTGGCATAATCGCGTCTGGATCACCAGATCATTTTGTCTGCCAGGAGGGTGAGCCAAGCTGTTCTGCCCACAGCCTTTTCCATCGGTTAGCAGGGAAGTGGAGGCACAGCAGGATCTCACAGCAGGAAGCGGAAGCTTAAACTCCTCTTCCTCAGCAGGCAGAAAAGGGAAGGGAGGGAGGGGATGAGAACATACGTGTGCCTGAATGCAAGTAGATGGGATCGCTGCACATGCGTGTGAGGCAAGTGAGAGCTCTGACCCACAGCCCTTCCCAAATGCAGGACCTAAAGGTCGCTGTCCTTGCCGGGAGATTTACTGCCTGCTCAGATGCCCAAGTTGCTTGTCTGCAGAAGCTTGAGACCATCCCAAAGAACTGGCTGATTTATTGCTCCCCCAAAGGTCTGGGGCACCTTGGGAGGCAAATCCACTTGAGAGCAGCCCCCTACCGGAACGGGGCTAGCCGAGAGGACTGGCGTCTGGCGCAAGCCTCGAGAGCCGAAAATAAGCCACGTCCCCTGACCAAGAGGCTTAGGCGACTGGTGCCCTCCAGGCAGGCAGACGCCAGTTCCCCCCCCAGCACCACCACGGCTGAGAACGACCATTGAGTGCTGGCACCTGAAGGGGCCCAGATCGCAGGCAGCCGGCTGAACACCTGCAGGAACAGTTTCAGGAGAAGGATTTAAATCTGGAAGCTGAGTGGAGGAATGGTTACCAAGAGCCCCAAGCCACGCCAGAAGCCCCTCTGCACCTGGGCTTGCCTTTCCTAATGGCACAGATTTCCTTCAGTGCTTGTGCCACACCACCTCATTTGGCTCCCAGGCCCAGCCGGGGGTGGGTGAGGGCAGAACCCTGCTCCAGATTGCTGGGTAACATCCCAGCTTTATGTACCAGGGAGGGGAGGGAGGGAGGGAGGAAGGGGGAGCCAGGCAGAAGGGAGGAAAACAGCATCCAGAGCGCAAAGCCGTGAATTATTCATGGCCAGTTTTTTTTAACAAGCCTAGTGTGGGAAAATCGCAAAGCAGGCGAGGCACGAATATAGCAGGGCACTTCCACTTCTCAGTAGGCTGAGGTCAGCACTACAGGCTTGAAAAAGGGGTTGAACTTGGAAGCATCTCCCGCTTGGAAGGGGCTCTCCTGTGCCTTTTCATCCGACAAGGGCCTTTCCTCCTGGGGCCTGAGAACCCGTCTTCGCCTCGGCTGCTCGCTCAGGCTGCTTCTGGGAAGCCCCGTGGAGGCCCCCAGATGCGCTCTGTCAGCGAGGACCCCCTGCAAGCGGTGTGTGCCTGCCCGCTTCCCACAAGTTGCATGTCCACAACCGATGGGGAAGAGAATGCTGGGAAGGCTCGAACGATAGCTTGATGTTCTGGTGGTGGCCATTTCAGCAGGACACCCAAGACCCCGCTGGCACAGAGGGTCCCCATAGATGCCATCCTCCCCCAGGGCTGCCTCTCCATTCACCCGCCTCCAGCGCTTGGCCAGACACAATTTGCCCAGCATGTTCAGTTAAGGCAGGAGCATATGGCTGTATCCCTCCCTCCCACAACAGTCTGCCACACTTGTGTGGCTATTCTTGTTTCGCAGCAGGGCGGATTTTGTGCACGGGAAGGCTGTACCTATACCGTGCAAAATCCTTTAGCTGGGCCATCCCCCACGCCAAGGCCACATCCTGCTCCACTCCTCTGGGCCGGGATCGAGCCCGTCTCTTGGGCGCTCCGGAGCGATGTGCTTTTGGGGGGCTGGAGAGATGGAGCTTGGCTCAAGGGCCTTGTGGGATGGAGGACTCAGCTCAAGCCCTGGGCACTGTAAGCGGCACCAGCCGGCTGCCCGCCTTCTTTGCCAGCCCAAGGACAGGGAACTGGGCCTGCGTTTCAGCCAGCCCTGCAGCAGGTCGCAGCACTCCACGGTCCAAACTGCTCCCTTAAAGGACTCCTCCTCGTGGATGGCTTTCTTTTCCAGTTCTGAGCCTGGCTGCGGCTTCTCTGCAGCTGATTCCGTTGCTCTGTTTTTGCACTTACGGCTCCCTTTTCTGGCTGGAGGGCCTCTCCCTCGAGCAAGCTTGCGTGAACAACCAACAACGGGTCCTTTACCCACTGAAGGAGCAAGCCTTGGCTTAGAGGGAGCTAATTCTTACTGGGACGGCTAGAGAAGCTCCCAGAATAATGAGACACTGACCTTTCTTTGATCTCCTCTGTTTCTTATGGGTGGCGACAATTTTGCAGCGGGGAAGACAGCAGGATAAGCTGCGTGGTCATGGCCCTGGAGAAGCCAGCATCAGAGATACAGGGGGTGAAACTGGAGTGGCCGGGCGGTTCAGGGGATGCCGTAAAGCCTGAGGTGGAGCAGCTCCTGGGTTTGTGGGTTGCTCTGGGCTGGCAGAACTGCCTCAGCTGGGCTTCCTGTCCAACCCTCTGGCCCCCTTTGAGCTTCCACCTGCCTCAGCAGCCCCATCCTCCCAGGGGCACCGAGCAGGCTGTTCCCTTCACTCTGGCCCCGGGGCTGCTGCCTTCCCTCCTCCAGCACCCGATTCCCGCCCACCCTGCCTCTCTCTGCTCCAGCAGCCGCCCTGCAGTCGAAGGGGGGCTCGGAAGAGTCTTGGGAGCGTTATTCTCCCATCAGCAACAAGGCTGCTGCTGCTGACTCACGTTACAGGACCCCAGCCCAGCAAGCTGCAGGTTGGCACAGTGGGGGGGGGGGGAAGGGGGCGGACCTGGCAGGGTCTGCTGAGGTCCGAATCACCACAAACTGAATTTGCCATGCTGGCAGCTCTTCCCCAGAACCATAAATGAGGCGGGGGGTGTGCTGAATTCTGGGGAGGGGACTTGCAGAGCCATTGATCCAATGCAGAAAGTCCTCAGAGCTCTTCCACCCTGTCCAGCCACTGCCTCCCCGGTTGGCATTTGGAGGAGGTTGCTTTTGCCCCGTTGGGTCAAGATGGGAACTAACCTGGTCCATGCTCAAAGGCACGGGGCACATCCACCCCACGGGAAGGGTGAGCCGTAGGAGTGGGGGGCAGGTCCTGATCAGACAAGGAGTTAGAGAGGAACCCTGGAAAGGGAGAGCAGCTGCACAGGGCCTCCCGCTGGGCTGCCGCTCCCCACCCCCCTTCCTGGGCGCACACAGCCAGAAGCCCACCACCTTCCCGACTTCAGACTGGAGCCGCGAAGATCCCAGATCCGAGGCAGAGGCCAGGGAGGGTCGGCAGACTCACAGACCCCTCCCGGATCGTGGCACCCGGACGTCTTAACCTCTTGACATGAGAGCCCGCGATACAATCAAAGCCCCAGAAGCTTTTGTGAGCTGCAGCAGGCACCGACCCGAAATGCACGCACATTCACACGTGCGACGCGAGTCCGACAGCATTCCAGTCACACCCCACTGCGTGCTCCAGGCATTCCCCAGGGAGGCCGCGATCTGTTCTGCCTGCCGTCCCGCGGAAACTCCGTCCCCTCTTGGCTTAAAAGGGGCCACGAGCTCCGGGGCGTTCCTGCCTCCGGCGCCTAAAGGACTATCCCCTCTTCAATGGGGGAGCCCTAAGGACGGGGGGGGCGGGGGGAGAGAGTTGTCTGCCAGACCCTCCCGGCTCTTTGGAGCCGCTTAGCTTTCAGCACTTCAGCCGCGCAAGTGAAAAAGTGGGAAGGGGCGTCCAAAGTTGGCAGGCGGCGCCTTTCTGGAGAGAATCCCGCTTCTGGGTGGGGAGGGGGGGGGCGGGGGGAGAGAGTTGTCTGCCAGACCCTCCCGGCTCTTTGGAGCCGCTTAGCTTTCAGCACTTCAGCCGCGCAAGTGAAAAAGTGGGAAGGGGCGTCCAAAGTTGGCAGGCGGCGCCTTTCTGGAGAGGATCCCGCCTCTGGGTGGGGAGGGGGGGGGCC